TTTGATTTTCGGATTGACAAGAACGGTGATCAGATAGCGATTGCCATGTTTACCTCATAAACGTGACCGCTGACCAGCCGCTGAGTGAAAACAGTATAGCGCGGGGTGGGGGGGGTGGGGGGCTTATCGTCATAAGATATTCGAATGCATGCTTAAAAAGCTTTAGGACTCTCAGTCTAAACAGTGAAGGCATGCTTCGTGGTACAGACAACTTTTGTTTTATTCCCATAACTTTCTCCTTTAATTAATAGAGTTATCAATATATTTTTAACCGGGGTACCCATATGACCTTTTTGCTTGTCATCAGTGGTATAAAATAAGATGTCTTTTCCACTAGAACCTTTTATTTATGTCCCATTGCATGGAATGAACACTATACTTAGAATGTTTGCTCTAAGTCATTTTTGCTGTTCCCAAGAATGTATGCAAAATGATAGAGATTTGATTCATTCAGCTGACACGTTCTTTTATGTTATGGCGCGTGCAGGTTTTTTCTATCAAAAGTCGCGCGCGCAACACACCGGAATTGAAAATTCGTCATAAAATCGTGCGAACCTTAGAATGAGTATAGGCAACTTTGACTTCCGGCGAGATGAAGTGGATGGTTTAAAGGACCCCCTGATATTTTTTTCAGGACTATAAATGAGATTTGTTTATAACTATAATAATCGTTATTATAAGCGGACGGTGTTGTTTACCCATTGTTGTCATCATTATCGTTATCATGCCGGAAGAAGTATAAAGCTGGCACATTGCCTTATCTAACTAAACAGAAAATTGTTCCCTCTTTTGCTCCCCATGGATCCTGGAACAGGAATCAACAAGGAAGCATTTATAATGACTGAAACTTTTGATTAACAGAATGGAAGAAAAAATCGGTGGAGAGAGTAATTCGCGTATTTTATAATCTGAATAATAGTTTCAATAAAAAAATACCAATTAATTCAATTGACCTTAGTTGTCTCGTGTTTAAAAGTGGCGTTTCTGGGGACCGTAGATTCATCTCTGATTCTTCTTGTCTCAGCTAAGACTCACTATCATTAACTTTCTTCTTGTGCTTCTTACGGCATGGGACACACAGAGCTGAGGTAAGCAATTGCAAATTTCTCAGTTAAAGTAAAGCCCAGTAGCATCCATCGGGAATTGAAAACCGACATACACTCTTTACTTTTGTTATTCTTACTCAAATAAGGGGTGTTTTCGTCTGCAAATTTATCATACTGGTTAATTAGAATCATACAAACTGAGGAAAACTGACCGAAAATAATTGTGAACCGTGCGCATGAATAAGTGTATTGCGTTGCCAGGTGATTTGATCTTCTACAAAAACATTATTGATTATCAACCAAGCAACATTGTACATATTTCCATCTGCAATTAAAAGATCTATGTTTTTTTAATGTGATGTATACTTAAGTACCCTTAATCTAATAAAGAGTTTCTTCTCTTTTCTAGCAGATATGTCACGACACAAAAATAGATAACAGAAAATGTTACTGAGGACTACCTGATTCAACTGGAATAATAACTCCATACAGCTTTGAATGTCCTGAGACATATGCAAGGTAATTACATCTCTGCCTTGGATACACTTCCTGACACCATCATGATCAGGATACTGACATGTTACCTTTGCTCTTCTCCAAAACTTCCCCAAAATGTGGCGATGCCTATAGCAAATCCACATTTTTTTGTTTATCCTCCTGAGCGAGGTGAAATAGGCCAGTCCTCGCCAAGATTAGTTCATTTTCACCTAAGACCTCTTTAGACAGGTGGCAGCCTATGAAATGATGTTTTACTTCATCATTGCATTCAGACAGTCGTACTAAACCACTTAAGCCACGCGATGAACCAAAGTTTTTTCCATCTTTGCTATTCAAAAAGCAGTCCTGAGACATAATGAACGTCTTGCTAAAAAACGACTTCTTCTCGTACTTGTAATTGTTTCCAACGCGATACAAATTCGGGAGATCTAAAGGAACTCGCTATAACTTTGTATACTCGATACGATTTCAATTTCCGCGCCAAAGGAGAAGCCTACTGTAATTCGTGAGTGGTCAGTGGTTACGCTCGTGAGGTAAAGAATGGGTTTGGGACTTTTTCACTCAATTGAAAAGACTCGCGTGACTCTTATGAAATGGTTGTACGGAATGCAGACTCCGAGCAGTCTCTTATTTTTCTTAAAGGCAGTGAGGTCACGCGTATCCTGCGAGCATGGAGAAGCAGCGAGACGCGAGAACAGTACGGCTAAGTGGTGAGGGGCGGGGTGTGGGGTGGGTGTGGGCAGATTATCAGAAGATTTTTGGGAACATTCGAACATGTGCATTTAAGTATCATAATAAGCATTAGGACTCTCAGTTTTAACGCGAGGGCATGCTTAGGCTTGCGGACAACTTTTGTTTTGCTAAGTATTTTTTTTTCTTTCAAATACATTTCGTTCCAAATAGGACTAGCATCAATTCATAGATTTCTAAACAAATCTTTATCATGTAAATAAATGTGATTAGATAATCGTGATAACCATTGAACTTCTTGTATCGCATCAGAAGTTACATGTCTTGTCTTTGTCCAACTCTGAGAGCGTGGAGCGGCAAAGACGCGAGACACGAGTCTCCTCAGTTTATATGATTCTAATTAACCAGTATGATTAAATTTGCAAACGAAAACACCCCTTATTTAAGTAAGAATAACAAAAGTAAAGAGTGCATGTTTCTGTGTAGTTAGGTAAGGCAACGTGCCGGCTTTATACTTCTTCCAGCATGATAACGATAATGATGACAACAATGGGTAAAAAGCACCGTCTACTAATAATAACGATTATTCTAGTTATAAACAAATCTCATTTATAGTCCTGAAAAAAAAATATACATTCTTGGGAACAGCAAAAATGACTTAGAGCAAACATTCTAAGTATAGTGTTCATTCCATGCAATGGGACATAAATAAAAGGTTCTGGTGGAAAAGACATCTTATTTTATACCACTGATGACAAGCAAAAAGGTCACATGGGTACCCCGGTTAAAAATATATTGATAACTCTATTAATTAAAGGAGAAAGTTATGAGAATAAAACAAAAGTTGTCTGTACCACGAAGCATGCCTTCACTGTTTAGACTGAGAGTCCTAAAGCTTTTTAAGCATGTATTCGAATATCTTACGACGATAAGCTTCCCACCCACCCCACCCCGCGCTATACTGTTTTCACTCAGCGGCTGGTCAGCGGTCACGTTTATGAGGTAAACATGGCAATCGCTACCTGATCACCGTTCTTGTCAATCCGAAAATCAAAATACCAGCGTGATATTCCCTCGAAGATGAAGCAGTGATGTTATTTGATTCGTACTTCACATTCGAGTCGAAGCTTGGGTGGCACAGGTTATTTTTTACGGTGGAATCGACGAGGGGAATTCGAACACTAGTTGTAGTGTTTGAATTGCTGGAAGAAATGGTCGCATGGGGATGTACGAATGGTAAGTTTAACGAACAATTTCAAATTATGCAGCTTGAATTGAAAGTAAAGTTAATTTGAATTGCTTTCGCATGTATTTCTGACGGTTTTAGATCTACCTGCTTGATTTATATCAGTAACGCTTCATGTTGACAAGTCCCTCAAAATGGCGGCCAAACTTGGAGATTGCCGAAAATTAGGTAAGTTCATGGAGTTATAAAGTTTTCGTAAAGGGTGGGCCGCAAAGTTTTTTTCTGTAGTTACCTTTCCTATGGCACCTTCTTCCTAGCTATGTTAGTTGGATCAGTTAAGAACGCCTCACTTTTTCGAAAATTTACTTTGAATTTGATCGGTTTTGGCGTGTGCGACTTAAGTGAACCGATAAGGTGTCATTCAAGTCTTCCTGTTTCCTTGTTTGAAACGTGATGATTACAAAAGTTGCCTCGATAGATAAGATAGGGTTAATATACATGGCCGTGGTATTTGTTTTTTGCTGAGTTCCGTAGTTTTTTGTAAACTGTCCTCCAAAGTTGTCTGAAATTAAAGTCTTGAAAAGTGTCACGACAAGCTTTCGCTCGAGTGAAATTTAATTTTCGTAAAACTCTGAAAAATAAAGAGATCCAATCAAACGGATTGTGGTTTTAGTATAGGTACATGAATGTCTTACAACACACAAGAAATGAGCGAAATCTGTGTCTCAAGCAAAATCGACCGGACCGCTCTTACAGAGACACTCTCTTAATAACATTGATCTGAAAAATTCTGATAATAATAAATTTCATTTGGATTAACATGTGACACAGCGAAATCATCCAAACTGCTCTAAAATGGTGAATCACTACTAAAGACTTTAACACGAACGATAACATCAACAATAGCATGCTACTTCTTCATCAATTGTAGCCAATTTCTTTTCAAAAAAAACTTAATGATTACGTACCAATCGATTCCATTCTATTGAGCTTCCAGCCAAGCACTAGCCCACTTTGGGCTGGAAATTATTTTCTTCAACTCGATCAATAAACCGCTGTGTGACATGTATACTGGTCAGCGGTTTTTTTGGGTGCAACAGTTGTCACTAACATCTCAATGTGGATGTCCGCCATAACAACAATGCACTGAAGGAGTTAAACGATTGCATTGGAGGCTTATTACATTTAGGACCAAATGTTATTACATTTAGGACTTTATTACATTTAGGACCAAATGTTATCACATTTAGGACTTTATTACAATTAGGACCAAATGTTATTACATTTAGGACAGTTATTACATTTAGGACTTCAACAACGCTATGCTGCATACAACTCCTTCGTTTTGGCCAAGAACTATTCCTATAAATTCTGATGAACTAACTGAAAATTTAACTTTGTTTCCCCTTTTGCATCGAGCTTGAGCCAGACAAATTTTGCAATATATAAATAACAGCCTAAAGAAAATTGAAGAAAGACTTTGACATCAACAGGTGTAAAATGAAAGTGCGTTGAATAACGTTCGCAGTAGATAAGCGACAAGAACCAAATTTGTTCTACCGTTCTACTTTAAGCTTTCGGTGAGATTTCGAGTGTATTACGTTTAGATTTCGATTGGCCACCCATACTCTGTTGATTCTCGGAGATTGATTTTGGTGCAGATCGTCCGTTTATTGCTAACATTTTGCGCGATGCCCAGCTTGCACCAGTTGCGGTAGAATCTTGACTAACATGCCAGCATTATACTATTTCATGCTATATTCTACATATATCTTGTCAATTGAATATGTTTTGAAACATTTTTAAACAATACCGTTTGAGCGAATTTCACCGATGAGATTCAAACGCCGTGTTAACACTTTGAAACTTTGTCACTCTCACAATTGTTGCCAACAAGATATTTCGGCTAGTCCAACGCTTAGGCTGGACTAAACATCAAAACAGTCAGTTATTCTAATTGTACATACGTGTATGTGTTAAGCACATGCTTGAACTTTCCACTACTCCTTCTGATTTAGAAGGTCCCACATGTTTATTATTTCATGGATATTAGACAAAGACATTCTGCCACACAGTTCTCCTGCCTTTTGCATCACTTTAGCTGATTCGAGAAGCAATTCCTTCGTAAGATCGGGATGGACCTTATCATTTCTTTTCTTTTTGATATCCTTCAGTATTCTGGAATGTTTGGTGTCATTCCACAGTAGTTCCTTTTTCAATGCATCCCATCTCTCTTGCGCCTGATCTTTATCGTCCCCCTTTTTACTTTTAATGTCTTGTTTGATGTATTTCACTGTATAAGAACATTCTTTACGATGAAGGTCTGGAAAAACTTTCTGGTACATCATCGATTGCATTCGGGAACACATTTCACCAAGAAAAATGCGAGCGTCATCTACTGAATCAGGGCATTTCTTGTCTTCTTCCTTTTGGTCGCGTTTCTCCTTAATTTTCCGAATATCCTTCGACAGTTTCTCTATTTGTGATTTCATTTCATCGTTGCCTTCCTCGCTTTTCTTGCGTGCTTCCTTCTCATCATCCCATTCCTTCTTTAAAACTTCCGTCTGAAGCTTGAAAGATTTCACCTCATTTTGGAGCTCTCTGATGGTAGCCTCCAAAGAAATCTTTATGTTCTTGTTTTCTTCTTTCAAACCCTTGACTTCCGTTCTTAGGGCCTTTATTTGTTCATCCTTCAACTTCAATGAGATCTTCAAATCCTCGATTTCTTTGTTCTTCTTGTCGTTTTGGTCTTTCAAATCCTTAACTTCCCTTTTCAAGTCTGTTATTTCTTTATCTAACGACACGGTTGCTGTGTCTTTATCCTTCGATTCAAATAAGATTTGCAAATCCTTTGTTTCTTTGTTGTTCTCGTCGTTTTCATCTTTTACATCCTTACTTTCGAGTTCGAAATTTTGTGAATTCGTTTCCAAACTTTTCTTCACGGTATAATCTTTGTTCTTCAGAGCTTCGATTTCTTGGTTCTTAGACTCCAAGGTATTCTGTAGGCCATACTTTATAGCCCGTAAATCTTTTAATTCCACCTCTAACCTGGACAGAGTCTCGTCCCTATCCTTGATTTTTTCCTTTAGAGACTCGATTTGCCTGGTGAGGTCCTGTACAGTCTCTGCGTCGCGTTGCAGCGTTCCTCTGATCATCTTGTTACCAGCTTTAATGTCTAAGAATGGATATCAAGAAAAAATAGCAATGCATTAGAGCTTGGTTCTTACTTTTCAGTTAGATAAACTGCATCATGGCTGAATGATATAGCTAACTAGCAACTGAATGACTAAAAGACCTTAACTAGAAGGTCTAATAATATTTGGAGATTCATGTTGCCATTTCTCTAGAAGAATGATTAGGACTTTACATATACAGGTAGAAAACCAAACCCACGCCAAACTATCATGGGTTATCGATTCAGATGAAGAAAACCAATGCATGTACAGGGAAGGTGAGCTTCTGAAGAAACTGAGGTGCTGCATCGGTGGAGGTAGTACAAGATGATTGACTTTATTGACTAATTTGAAAATTTAAGTTTCCGCAATTTTACTGAGCAAACCCGCACCAGACCACCAAGGCTAACAGATTCATATTAGAAGGGCGTTGCAAGGGGGAGTCCTGAGGTGCCCGTGACATCTCGGGCGAGGAGATGGACATGACGATCTGATGATTACCCACTGTTTGACAGAGTATGACCCCCCCTTCCTTTGAAAAACCCTGGCTACACCCCTGGATTAAGAAGACTAATGCAGTTGATTTTGCCATACCGCTCTAAGTGGTACAGAGCGTAAAAAGGGACTGAGCATATAAAGAGTCGCTCTTTCATCATGTCTGTCGACAGGGATACCATCAACGACATCCTATGACCACGTTTAATTTCAAAGAGAAGTTACATGTATGGAAAGACCACACAATGTTGTTAAGAAATGAAAGAAATCGGAATTCCTAACCTGGAGGTTCCTTTAGTACTCTACGAAAAATGGAAGTTGTTAAGCTCTAATGCTTTCCGACAATAAAAAGAGACAAATTTTAAAAAAATAATTCTAACTATTTAAAGTCGAGTAGACATACCAACTTATGTGTTGTGATTCACAGATGACATCAGTTTGAAAAACCCAGGTTGAAAGAATTGTACAACACGAAATTAGGCTTTATTTACATGGTACTTCAGTCAAATTATTATGGGAAAGTTTGGAGGTTTCTTGCGTTCAATTCATGGACACGTATGATAATGTACTTTGATGATGATCGCGTTTGACTGAGTTTGGGTACATCCAGTTATAAGTCCTATTCGGGTATCACAAACACAAATGCAGTCCAGATTGTATATATTTTTGGAAATTGCTGCAATAAGAATCCTATCTACATTCTCATTTGTCGCGGTTCTCATCAGCCTGTTTCACAGCCCTAATCACAATCCAAGTTTCAATCATAGAAGCAGGAATTACTACACTAGAGACCTCAGTTCGAGGAAGTAGCTGATTCTAATAAAACTGTGTGAAGCCTTATAACACCGCTATCACGAAGTTCCATCATAGTTTTATACATATATTGCAACTAGTTTAACACTGCACTTTTCCTCAATCTTCTGCCAAAAGCTCAGTCATGATACAGGTTCTCATTGATAGAGTTCTATGCTCTTAGTGTTCTTCTCTTTTTATTGTCGACTTCACCCAGTGGTTCATAATGGTAATTGAACTGAGTGAAGTGCAATTTGGGCTGAAATCATACGCGTGATTTCAAAATCGGACAAGCGCGCAGCGCGAGTTCGATTTGAAATCACAAGTATGATCTCAGAACAAAATTGCACAACACGAGGTTCAATTACCATTTTATTACACCCATTTTGAAATCGCCCAAATACAGGACTTGGTCAATTCAAATATTTTGTTGATGCATTACTGAGCCGGTTTGAGATTAAATTCATTCAGTTTTTGAGGGGAAAAAATGAGTTTTAGAAACAAAAGTTGCAAAATTTGCCATATGATACTCTTTGTCTTTCATTTTCCTGCAATTTGATTGGTTACTTTAAACAAGCCTTGAAATCTGATTGAAGATAGCCTCTTCATTGGCTGGGAAAAAAATGCGATTTAAAGCAAAAAAATAGTGTGATTTGTGAATAAATTGCACCAATTAGAGCTAATCAGATAACAGGGACCACCAGTGATTTCAAAATGGGTGCAATAAATCAGTTTAACATCTCTGAGGACTTTCGCTCTCAATGTGATATGACAAAGTGGGCTTTTAATAGGATAGATGGTTTTGATTTCTATGGGCAAAGTCCTTCTACAGGTGGCATTCGGACATTTTCTAGTGGTGCAAGCAACTCTAATACACTTGCTTGGGCTTCCATTTGCTGAATTTCTCACTCGAAGAAAAACTTCAGTGAAAATGCGTTGCTAAATATAGACGCCGTTCCGGTAGCTTTGAGAGGAAAATGCCTTCGAAAAACGTGCCTCTTTACCCTTCAAGTAATTTTTACTTGCTTTATTATTTTTGTGAAACATTGACAAAAAGAATTTATTTTTCTTTGTTTTTATCCTATCGATAGCCGAAAATTCGTTCGAGCTCGATTCTTAGGCGTGCATTCCCTGCTGCGCATGCGAAGTTAAATCAACCGATTGCATTGATTGATTACCAGTTCTACTCGTGTTCGCTGAGCAGATTGAAATATTTTTAGGATTAATAAAGCTTTACCTCCCAAAGACGAGAGTCCCCCAATACGTAGACTTTTTGGAAGGTGTCAACATTGTGGGTTCTCTGTTTCGAGAAAAGGGCTATTTCTAATTCCGTAGTTTTTCTTCCCTCGACATTGAAATAGCGGCTCTGAAAACTGATCCGTATGTAAAATAAGATTTTATTGTGTGACGTTTCTTCCCCTGAGCATCAGAAACATAAGAAAATTTATTTAGATGATTGTTCGCAAGTTCACATTGGATAGCTATCACTTTAGTGGCCAAACAAGACAACTGACGTTTGCCTTCAGTCATGGACGCCATTACTTCGATAGTGAACACTACTAGAAGAATGTGTTTTTGATCGAGAAGGGTCTGCTGCTCTATAACTAGAATAGGTAATGGCGCTATTTCCGCGCGTAATGCTAGCGACACTTTAAGGAATCAAATGACTTTCGAGACTTTGCTCGAATGTTTTACTTAAAATGAACTGGAGAAGGAGGAGAACTCAGGGATCGATTATTCTTTAAACAGACGCTGTTAATGTGGCATGGAATATACCTTCTTTTGTAAGAATTCAGTGAGTCTTAGATGAAACATTTCTAGTTGTGGTTATAAAAATTCCGGAGTTAATACCAGTTTTACTTGACAATCGTAAATCAAAGAGAACATTCTGACGGCTAAGGGTATGTTTTGTCGTTGCTCATATCTTTTCCTGGGAAAGGCAAGTCCTGAAGAAATTATCTCAGATCTCAAAAAATTAAACTTTAACACAGCATTTATGATATTTCTGCGAGTTCTATAGGGTCATACATCTTTGCATTTTTAAGATTTTAGTTTGAGTTTGTGCGATTAATTTCATGGTAAAATGCTTCTTTTTGTAATTTTCTAGCCTTCTAGCGCGTGCTTTGAATATTTTTCTGGACATAGACAATACGAGGGACCTTGCTAAGTTCTTTCTCGGAGAAATTGAAATCGTTATTAAACTCTTGGCTAATGAGAAATTTGACTAGAGACATGGTGAAGCAGAGGGCTGTCCACATCATCAAGGCATCAATTTTCAAGATACGAGTAGTGATTCTGGATCCTAAGGCAGAAGTGGATTTACATATGATTAATGACGGATCTGTTTGTTTCTCAAACCCCTTTGACTCTTTTTTGCTCTGACTTTGCACTCAATTTGACGTTATCTGTGAACTTTTACTGAACATACTTAACAATACTTACAAATAAACCCTCCAAGTGGTGAATACTTGACTGTAAATACATAAAAATGATTCGGGTGCACTGCGGTTGAAGAAACGAATATAGAAGCGATCCTCGCAGATATGACTACTGAAGTAGTAGTGAAAATAAGGCCTTACTGGAGTAAATCCAGATAGTTTGTTTTATCACATTTAAATATGAAGCAAAAAGTGGGATAATAATCACGGAAATAGCTAGAATGATAAATGGTCCGAAAGGTAAAGTGAATACAACACATTGTCCATGCGTGATGGGGAGCTTTGATCACCGAATTGAGATCCGTTGTTTCTAATCGCATCTGATTGATGGTTCAACCATCAAGGTGTCAGAATCAAATGAGAATGTCCAATGGTTATTGATTGTCATGGTAAAGTGGAGCTAGCTTGTGTGTCCCAACCAATCATGCCAATGCATCCTCGTGATCACCCTTACCATATATGGTATTCCCTTAGACTCTACCCAAATTACCCCTGAACATGA